GAGAACAAGGAGACAACAACGAATTGAAAGTTTTAAGACAATATGGATTTATCCCTCAATAATAAAATACTGCATGCTGTTGCAAGATAGGAAGTGAATTATAAATGTATCCTTTCTAGTAAACAAGAAGAAAAATCTAAAAAAAAAATCCCCTTTCCAAAAAATTTATCCCCAAAAAATAAAAATGCAAATTAAATTGGTGCAACTTTAAGATAATTAATTGTTCCAACATCATCATCAACTAAGAAAATGATAAATTTAAGAAATTATTTTTCTACAAAATAAATATTAACTTAAATTTTTTGGAATTTATTTTTTAAAATTAAATTTAATTAATTTTTATATTCATTTAGTAACATTACTTCACCATCATCTGACTTGCAACAACTTGGGAATTCTTCTTGGGCTTTAATTCTATGTCTATTATTTGCATGGTTTGTTGTTTATTTAAACACTGTTAAGAAAAAGTTAACATTAAAAAAAGTATGCTATTAATTTATTTTAATTAATTACAGATTAAATTTTTTTTTAAATTCTTTTTATGTATAATGATAAAATATTTAAGAAAATAACTTTTTCTTTCAGAGAAAGTTTATTCCTACAGCGTTAATAGTACTTTTATTCACTGCATTATTTGCTTTCTCATTTAAACATAGAGGAAATATGATGGGCATTGCCAATTATTTAAAATTTGATAAAGGAAGGCTTGGAGATCCTCTGGTTAGAAACGATTTTTTTTATTTATATCTATTAGCATTTTATATAAAAAAAATAATAATAATTTTCTAAGTTTATATGATAAAAATATTTAATTTAAATGGGTAAATTTATATGTAAATTTGACGTAATTATATGTAGCTAGTCCCCGATATTTGGAAATTATATATTGATAAAAATATAAGGAACTCTATGCTAACAATTAGCATGTTATAAAATGAATTCCATTCCCAAAGAGATTAAAAGTAATAATAATAATAAAATTTTTCATTAAAGTAGGAAAGTTTATCTTTTCACTGTAACAATGCATAATACATTAGTTAAAACGTTAAGTAGATTAAACAAAAATTAAGCAATAAAACTCTCAAATGATTCAATATCACCGAAATTGGCTGAAAGTACCATTGCACTATAGCACAAAGTTATTTGTAAATGTAGGAAATGGCGTATAAAAATTGATTTAAGAAAGAGCATTCTGAAAGTCAAGGACCACCTGTATTTTTAAGTTGTAAAGAGTTTAAATTAAGTCTTGTTTAATAAACATTTATTATAATTGGTATGTTAGCAGAAATAAGAAGAACTTAGAACCACATTTTCCATTATTAAACGATATCCAATACACAAAAAAAATTTACTGTTTTACATAATACAGCAAAGTGATACTGTGTTTAATATATTATTTTTATATATAACTCTAAAAATATTGTATATTTTTCTAATATTAACTTTTAGTATATTTAATTATATATGATAAATAGCCATACATCTACTGGCTCTAATTCGACTCGATCCCTGATAGCTTTTCATGGAATTTGNTGGGCAATATTGGAAAAAAAAGGTTATTTATAATTATTTTCCAGGTCTTGACATCGCTTCTGCTTTTTATATTATTGCATCATTATTATATCAAATGACAATTATCAGCTGGACATTGCTGTATCTTTTTACATCTGTTCAAGAAACAGTTCCCTGGTCAATTTGCGAAAATATTACTCGTTCGACAGGTTAGTAACTATTTTAAACTTGTAAACTTTATATATAATTGCTTAAAAAATTCATTAATAAGATTTTTTTTTTATTTTTAGATGAATAGAAATTACTGATTCATTATTTACTTCTATATTAAATATTTTTATTACATTGTATTATACATTTATATACCTTTATGCTTCATTAAACAAGCTATCGTGCATATAATATTTTTGACAGTATCTGTTGTATATTCGTCTTAATCTTGGATATTATAAAAATAAAACATTTCTACGTTTATTTCTTTCTTATGATTATGATTATTTTTATCTTATTATATTAGATTTACTGTATGTGCTTCAGAAGCGCATAAAATCTGATTGATATGTTGATATAAGTAGCCTATATTGATATAAAAAACTATATTATTATGTATTTAGACGAGTATTCTATATATTTGCCCTGAGTATGAGAGAATGTAGTTTCTGGAATGGGATCATATATCATCATTAAGCTAGATAGGCTATATATATATATACACGAATTATTCAATCATACAGCGCTATTTAAGCTTCCAAACTCTAAAGGCTTCGTTATTAATTTTTTAATAAATAAATATTAAATGTTTTTTAATCTTTTCTTAGAAATTTCTCCCCTTTATTAAATGTTTTTCTTCTAATCGCCATCTAACAAAACTTAAGACAATATTCATGGTACTTAATATAACAAATAAGTAAATAAATTTACATTATCTTTCGTTATACGTTATTTACATTCCTGACTAGTGTAATTCTTAATACAGTATTAGCATTCCGTTGAATAACACTGTTGTACTGTATATAGAAACATCAAGGTATGATAAGGTGCTGAGGTTCTATCAATATATACGTATGTAGGATAGCGTGTAACAAATATTTTAACATTCTTGCAGTTGTAATTGCATAAATGTCATCTCTTTTTTCAAGAACGTAATACTTTAGAATGAGATTNATATAAAAAAAATAATAATAATTTTCTAAGTTTATATGATAAAAATATTTAATTTAAATGGGTAAATTTATATGTAAATTTGACGTAATTATATGTAGCTAGTCCCCGATATTTGGAAATTATATATTGATAAAAATATAAGGAACTCTATGCTAACAATTAGCATGTTATAAAATGAATTCCATTCCCAAAGAGATTAAAAGTAATAATAATAATAAAATTTTTCATTAAAGTAGGAAAGTTTATCTTTTCACTGTAACAATGCATAATACATTAGTTAAAACGTTAAGTAGATTAAACAAAAATTAAGCAATAAAACTCTCAAATGATTCAATATCACCGAAATTGGCTGAAAGTACCATTGCACTATAGCACAAAGTTATTTGTAAATGTAGGAAATGGCGCATAAAAATTGATTTAAGAAAGAGCATTCTGAAAGTCAAGGACCACCTGTATTTTTAAGTTGTAAAGAGTTTAAATTAAGTCTTGTTTAATAAACATTTATTATAATTGGTATGTTAGCAGAAATAAGAAGAACTTAGAACCACATTTTCCATTATTAAACGATATCCAATACACAAAAAAAATTTACTGTTTTACATAATACAGCAAAGTGATACTGTGTTTAATATATTATTTTTATATATAACTCTAAAAATATTGTATATTTTTCTAATATTAACTTTTAGTATATTTAATTATATATGATAAATAGCCATACATCTACTGGCTCTAATTCGACTCGATCCCTGATAGCTTTTCATGGAATTTGTTACAGCCGTCATTCTTCATCTCTTAACCAACTGATCCCATTACCGATTATTCAGTCGTATAATCTAGGAAAATTATAATTTTTCAGTAAAATAATACAATTAATGCAATATAATAAATATAAATTGATAAAATATATTTTATATGATTAGTCAGATTATAATTTATTAATATTTACAGTTGTGGAACGATTCTCTGACTCAAGTAATGCTTAGTTTAAACATAGGAAGTGGATTTATAGCATTTTCATCAAAGCAAAGCAATAGTCATGAAAAAATAATAAAAACATCAATAGGAATTATCGCAGTAAACTTTATTATATCTTTCTATGGAGGCCTGGTAATATACTTATGGTTTGGAGTGTTAGCAAATGCTAGTCATATTACGTTTACATCATTGTTATCTGCAGGTAAAATTTAATTTATTCATTATTAATTAAAATAGAACATAATTAATGAATGATAATATTTAATTGCAGATTTCGGTTTTCCATTCATTATTTTATCTTCTGCTATAGCTACTTTACCAATTCCTCCAATTTGGTCAATAGCAATATTTTTAATTATGAGTCTTACCAGTCTGGATAGAATTGAAAAATTACTTTTAACATTGCTTTCAACTATTCATCAATTATTTTCGATAAATTCCTTTAAAGACCATAGCAAAATATCGATTTTAATTATATATGTCCTGTTATTTTGTAGCGGAATTCTCTTTACGTATGGGGTAAGTAATATTAAAATTTTTAATATCTATATATTAGTTATGTAATGTATGGGTCAGCACAAGCAACTAATGGGGTTATAAACCAGTGATGCCGCGGACTCCATTACGAGATATAGGAGGATAAACATTTAGTACTGCTGCCCCTGTTTGCTATCTTGTAAAACACGTGTATTTTGTTACAAGTAGATTTTATGGAATAATCCTGAGCAAAGTGGTAGAATCCAACATTTACCTTTATTAACAGGTAATTGACATTGTAGAGTATTTAAAAAGATGATATACTGTACACTGTCAGTTAAGCTAAAATAACACTTACATACAAGACAACACAATTAAACAATGAAGATATTAATCTTTTATTACATAGGCTAGACATCCCACCTATTGCATGAATTTGAATAATTTTATATATTCTACAGATCAAATAATTTACAATAAATATAAATGTTTATTAATGTTTTATTGTGTTTTTGTAAAGGCGAAAAGGCATTTATAAGAACACATCAATTTATATTGATTGCTTTTCAGTTGTTTAGCAAAACACACCCTAAAAAGCAATCTATTTTGACTCAGATTCGTCCATAATGGGCAAAATTTAGTTTGACCGATGAGCAGTTAGTTGTTGGGTATTATACATTAAAAACAAATGGAAATTTTACGTTTTACGGTAGTTTTCAAGCCATTCGGTATACAATATGTCTATATAAATATCAGTTTTTGTATTCATTATATACAATTAGGTATATTAGGCCTAAATTTTATACAGTGAAAAGATGTGGTTATGCTCTATTTGTTTTGCAGAGGGATAGGTATAAGAGTACTCACAAACAGGGTAAAGAAACTGCTATAACATGGATGGATTATAGCGATTCATGCAATGAGATCGTGTGCTTATAAAGCGATTTAAGCTTTGCAATTTCTTCAATATACATTATTTTGAAGCACGTGGAAAATTAGCTGAATATAATTATAATATTTACCGTTTAGAAGCGTATTCAGGAAGGACAGAGAGGATATAAACTTCTCCTTTTCCAGTGTTTTCCTAACGATGGTGTCTGAATATACCTCTGTTCTCCATCCAACTAGAATAACTCTAAGAAATTTATTACAATATATCACTTCAGATATACGAGAAAGCAAACTACAAGCAAATATTTTCAAACAAAATGGAAATATATTCATATATATATATATTCATATATATATATTAAAATAGTAAGCT